TTTTTTGAACTCATTTTAACTCTTTTTTGTTTGTTTTTGCCTACAGTTTGAGTATTTTAGTGGAAAACCTGCAGAACCTGAAGATTATGAACGCCATAAACCCGGGCCGAGAGGTGACGGGTCAGTGTTTGGCCCGATTGGGGCCCAACATTCAGGACATATGGATAGGACTCAACCACTTGCGTGATGTGAATCCGGCGCTGAGAGCACTGGTGTCAGGAAACGGCAAAAATCTCATTCATTTGGGTCTCATTGTGTCCAACTATTCGACGACTGACTGGTCTATAATCACGGATAATATGCATCACTTGAAGAGTCTTAAGCTCACGTTTGGTTCATACCGGAGCGCATCTCTCAAACCATTGGCTAAACTACGAAACCTGGAGTTTCTGGTGTTGGCGGAGGACTCGCGCAATGAGAACCAGTCGGTGCTGACGGACGACTCGCTATTAGCAGTACTAAAGGGTTGTTCGCAACTCAAGTCGTTGGCCATCGCGGGCACCAAACAAACGACGTGTCGGTTCACGAACCGAACGATAGCCATGATTGCCACCCATTGCCCAAATATGGAACAGCTCCGGTTCCTCAACGCCCATAACCTGACAGACGAGGCGCTGGGCATACTGGCCTCCATTCCCTCCCTCTTAGTCCTACACTTGTCATCCATGAACGGCATAACGAACACTGGAATTGAGGCGTTCGCCAAACGGGCGCCTAAAGTGCGGAATTTCCGGGTCAGTGACTGCCTCAACATCACTGAAGACATCATCGACGCCTGGGTTGAAGTCGCGGAGAGACGAGAAGACGACAAGATTAAGGTATTTCTCGAAGGCGTCGAAGTCAAGAGATGTTTGGATGACTTGCCGTCAAATCTGAAGTTAGACATCAAAGAGGACGACGAGTCCGCAGACAAACCCATAAATGCTGAACAAAATTGTAATAACACTACCAATTAATACATTCATTATACCGTAATTACCATTTAGTGATAATTTTGTGAATACTATTTGTATTTGATTTGCGGTTCAATTCATGAATTGTTTGTTACCTTCTCTAATGTATGGAGATTTGTTTTTAGAATTAATACATTCATTATACCGTAATTACCATTTAGTGATAATTTTGTGAATACTATTTGTATTTGATTTGCGGTTCAATTCATGAATTGTTTGTTACCTTCTCTAATGTATGGAGATTTGTTTTTAGAAGCAATTGTTATGACTTATTGCACAAACACTTATGAGTACAGTATATTTTAAATCAAATTCAGATTAATTAATCATATTGTCATTGTATTTCTTTTTATTTAAATTATTTAAAATTGTATAATAATGTATTACTATATTGTAACTGTAAAATAATTAATTCTTTTTTATAAATTATTGAATAAAAATTGAAAATCAATTTTAAATAAGTTTTATTTTTTAGATACAGTAATCCTTATACAGTAGTACACGAGTGTATAGAAGAGGATATAATGTTTGGCTAATTTCTATACTGTATAATGTTTTACCGGTAATTAATTGAAATATTTATTAACATTTATTAAACCATTAATTTTATTCGTATAAATTTAGATGTTAAGTAAAATGGAGTACAAATGGATATAAAAGTTACAATTGTTTGTGTGAGACGTGTGGGAGGGTTGGCATCACTTTTAATTATGTCATCAAATCAAACGTAATATTGTCGTGAATGCAATGAACCGTATAATTAACAAATTGATCCCATATTTCACAAGAGTATGTCTTTGCCGAGTGTCTCGATCTCATCCAGAATGAAATCCATGTCCCGGGTGTTTGACTCGGGAAAGCAAGTGATACTGAGTCGGAAAAAGTTGGGCAACTGTTTGGTGGACAGCGGCTGATAGCCTATCATAAGTGAGCCGCAGTCCATCATCCGCTTCTTGATCATCGGCGCCACTTTGGACAACACTTCCGGTGCCAACGAGTGACCATTGGATCTCATTTTTGGCGGAATATACCAGAAAGAGATGAGATTACTCTCGAACTCATCCATCACTAACTTAAAGCCCGGCCTTTCTCTCAACTTTTCAGTTATATATCTATTAACAGAAATCATAATTTATTAGACATTTAGTCCTAATAGTGCTGTTCCCAGACATACTGTGCCATATCGTAGACATTATTGACCGCCGCCTCCATCCCAGACCTGCCGTAAGCTTTAAGTTGAAGCCATAGCTTAAGAGTGTCTGACTTTCGACCGCATTGTATGGACTTATCTCCGGAATCATAGGACGCGTCGTAATACTTATCGCTCTGAAAGATATATTCAGCCCTCAAAGAGTTGGTCTCACAGAGAATGGACGGGTGTCTCGTCAGGATAACAGTGCACTGTTGAGGAGCACACGTCAGCTTATGGAGATCCCAGGTCACTGAGTCAGCCCTCTCCACACCGACCAAAAGGTTGCGGTGTTGTGTCGACAAAAGCCAACCGCCGCCGAGGGCTCCGTCCACGTGAAGCCATAGCCCAAACTCGTGGCAGACGTCTGCGATCTCTGGCAACGGGTCGAAGGCACCCAAAACGGTAGTGCCGGCAGTGGCCCCAACCATATACGGCACTTTACCCTCTTTTCTAGCCTTTAATATACTGTCTCTTAGCTCGGCTACAATCATACGACCCCTATCGTCGGCTTTCACTTTGATTACAGACGCCGTTCCCATTCCTAACCAAATGGCGGACTTCACGAAAGAGTAGTGCGACTAAAGGCATAGCAAATACAATAATTAATTACCAGTATAACTTTAATTAATTATCAGTAATCCAATAATCAACACAAATCTATAATTAAATTTAGTTTTTGTTTGTACTGTAGATCAATATATAGTTATAGTTGATGTATAAATACTTATAACCGGAATATGTTTAATGGATATAATGTTTAATATGTAGTAAACTCACGTCTTCGGAGGCAAACATCACGAGTTCTCCCAAATCTCTAATACCCTTGTGTTTGGATTGAGGAAAGGCGTGTTGTCTCGATAGTACCATCGCATACATATTAGCACTGGACCCTCCAGGTGCAAACATGCCATCGATTTTGTCATATTGATAGCCAACCAATTGTCCCAAATATTTGATCAAATATTTTTCAATAACAGAAAATACTGGCGATATTTCAAACGTAGCCCTGGAATAGGAGGAATGGCACGTACCGGTATATGCCGTCAATTAAAACTAACCAGATAATTTGTAAGCAAATAACGACATCAAATTATTCCAGAAATATTTCCTATTTTCTAATATTGTTTATATTTTTTATAAATTTACTGTAATTTTCTGTTGGCACAAAAACTTTTACAAACTTATTGATTACAAAAACACAAGACATGATAAATACTGTAAAATTCTGCACAGGAATTGAGTACTCTTTCTAATTGACTAAAACTCATTTTAAAGTTATTTTAGAAATTTTACTTTTTTAAACAGATTCAGAGCGATATTTTTAATTTTTTAGCACTAAATTATAAATCAAACAATTATACTGTACTAACGCTGAAGTATTGAGAGCGTCGGTAAGAAAGGCACCGGAAAGGGAGTATTGTTCTGTCCCTCCATACAGTTGATTGTAAAAGTTAGGGTGTGCTATATATTGACATATCAAAACAATTAGTATTAATAAATATTTTATCATTTATCTAAAATCTTGTGATAATTACAGGTCTTAAGGCTATGTCTAATCACTTGTCGGCAGATATCTAATAGTTTGGGATCAGATTCTTTCTCTTCGCCGATATCCAGATCTAATGATTCCTATAATAAAACACAGAATTATTCAAAAGTGTGAACAAGTTATTCAAAACCATGAGATCTTGCCTCCAATTCATTGGGATACTTAAAATCCAACAATTTTTGGTGATTATCTTTAATGAATTTTGCATTTCCAACAATTTTTTCCTCGTTAATAGCAATATCCAGTAATTGTTTAATAAACTCATTTCCATTATTGGAAGCCATTATGATTATTGTAATAAAACTTCTTAAAAATGAGAAAACTTTAGTTTAAATAAGTGACGGTAAGAATCGGGTGACTCTACGAGATAGTAGTTTAAATAACTCACTCTTTTAAATGACTCTTTAAAATGTAACTTAAGTCCACATAAACTCAAAACTTTTCCAAATAATTCAACAGAAAATGTTAAACAAAGTGCGAGAACTTTGTCCGCTTTATATCTGATTTGGTATAAGACTTGACGTGAAAGTTGTGTTGCTATATATACTTTGAAAATCTAAGTCCTCCTCCTATTTATGCATTTAATTAAATGAAAATTATTATAAATTAATAAAAAATTTCTGATCGTATTTTTATGCTAAAAATCTATTCCAACAATTCAAGGCTTGTATATATTACACAACATTACAATAATTTGTATGTTTGACCAAAAAAGACCGGTTCCACCAAATGAATAGTGTTTTTGTTTCTAAAATAATTGAACCTAACATTCATTAATCAATTACAGTTTGGTCTTTGATTTATTGTTTTTGAATGAAAAATAATAATAAGTTTTCTCTCAAAGAATTATAATTAGATTTTCTTTTTTGTTGGAAAACTATTTTTTATATACGTTAAACAAATACTTATTTTTGGGGTTTAAAATACATTTTCAATTAATCAATGAATTTAAGATTTTCTAAGAAACTTAGAAACTTATACAAATGAGAGGCAAGAGTTTTTAAGATATAATTTTTTGATAAGAAATTATGTAAAAATTAGGTTTTATTTCACAATTTGAACAAAATAGATAAAAAGTGTATATTGCATTGAAATACATTAAAATGAGTTAATATGTTATTTTCTGATCTAAAACTTAGTCAACAACTTCCTTACAATTTTGCAAACAAATGAAAATGTATTTTCAAAAAATAATGATGAAGTTTGTGTTCAAATATGCGTTAAATTTCTCAAAGCCAGAGAAACTTCAAATTCACTGCAATTCACTGACATAATGCAAAACATTTTTGTAATTAATACTATAAACAAATAGTAATTTAAGTATAACTGAGGGGAGGGATAAACCCAACTCAGGAATCATTAAGAAAAATACAATAGATGTTGGGTCACTGTTATGTCTAGAGATAATTAGTTCAATTTACAATAATTGTTATTATTACCTTCCCCTACCTGTACGCTTTGAATACACATTAGTTTAGGGCATTGAGGGGAAAGTGATAGAATATTATCGGTACTCAATGTATTGAAATTGATATGGATATGACACTATCATATAAACAAATTTCACAAAAATTGAACATTTTCCGTAATCATAAAATAGCATTATACCTTCACAAAGGCTTTCATGTCAACTATTTGTTTGTATTATTTGAATATTGTGTATCAAGAGTGGGCTGAGAAACGCTAAATATGTGTTAAAAATGTCTACAATGTTTAAAGAATGACATTTAATTCTGGGAACATATTTACAACTGATTCATATACGTTGGCACCGGAAGTGTTGTCCAAAGTGGCGCCGATGATCAAGAAGCGGATGATGGACTGCGGCTCACTTATGATAGGCTATCAGCCGCTGTCCACCAAACAGTTGCCCAACTTTTTCCGACTCAGCATCACCTGCTTTCCCGAGTCAAACACCCGGGACATGGATTTCATTCTGGATGAGATCGAGACACTCGGCAAAGACATACTCTTGTGAAACATGGGATCAATTTGTTAATTATACGGTTCATTGCATTGACGACAATATTACGTTTGATTTGACGACATAATTAAAAGTGATGCCAACCCTCCCACACGTCTCACACAAACAATTGTAACTTTTATACCCATTTTGTACTCCATTTTACTTCACATCTAAATTTATACGAATAAAATTAATGGTTTAATAAATGTTAATAAATATTGCCATTAATTACCGGTCAAACATTATAAGTATAGAAATTAGCCAAACATTATATCCTCTTCTATACACTCGTGTACTACTGTATAAGGATTACTGTATCTAAAAAATAAAACTTTTATTTAAAATTGATTTTCAATTTTTATTCAATAATTTATAAAAAAGAATTAATTATTTTATAGTTACAATATAGTAATACATTATTATACAATTTTAAATAATTTAAATAAAAAGAAATACAATGACAATATGATTAATTAATCTGAATTTGATTTAAAATATACTGTACTCACAAGTGTTTGTGCAATAAGTCATAACAATTGCTACTAAAAACAAATCTCCATACATTAGAGAAGGTAACAAACAATTCATGAATTGAACCGCAAATCAAATACAAATAGTATTCACAAAATTATCACTAAATGGTAATTACGGTATAATGAATGTATTAAT